ACAGTGTAGTCTTCTGCATCTTAGAACACAGGGCTAGGGGTAGACCCTCAGCTAGTGTGAAATGATTTAATTCCACTGACCTGTCTCTTTACAAAGGGATCCAAGCTTTTAATTGTACAGAGACAGACTTCACGACCACATGAGATGGGAAAAAACACCAAAAGAGTCCAAACCCCACCTATAAAGCAAGAGCATAAGGACAGTGGGAGTTACAACACTGCCCTGACATTTATACAACCCAGAGATGGGAAAAAACACCAAAAGAGTCCAAACCCCACCTATAAAGCAAGAGCATAAGGACAGTTGGAGTTACAACACTGCCCTCACGTTTATACATCCCAGAGATCATGAGGAGGGGCCAGTGTTCTGCTTTCTACATCACCCACCATGCTAGCCACTGGTCAGATGAGCCTGCAGAATGCATGTTAGATGCGCTCCCACTGCTTTTGGATGTAATTCTGCCAGCTCACATGCTGTGCAGTCAGCAGACTCTTTGTGGTGCTAAAGCGGTGAGGAGTCCTATGGCACCTTATAGACTAACTGAAGTGTTGGAGCATAAGCTTTCGTGGGCAAAGACCCACTTCGTCAGATGCATGTAGTGGAAATTTCCAGAGGCAGGTATAAATATGCAGGCCAGAATCAGTCTGGAGATCACAAGGTGGATCCAATCAGGGAGGATGAGGCCTGTGCTGTGCTGTGGCTCTCGGTATCCATCCGCACTGTGGCTGTGCACGAAAAACCCGGAAAGAACCCAAAGCTCTTTGGCGGAGTGGTCAGAGCACGTCATGCGGGGTCATGTTTCAAGTTTGGACATTTATTTGTGCCATTTCGGGCTTTGTTCCATTTGGCCTTATTGCGTCCAGTTTAAAACAGTTCAACAAATACTTAACATCGCACATGGATGCCGTGACGCTTCATTCATTTATATTTGCAAAGCCCTTTGGGATCACTTTGGAAGGGTCGGCGTATTATTGTAGTGCACTCAAGACTCTGGTCAGGGAGGATTGGTTTGCTCACAGAAAACTCTAATTCTGTACCGTTACAACAGTCAGGAACCCATGGTGTGATCTTAGGCAAGTCACTCAGCTTTTCTCAGGGTACATCTAGACTGCACTCTAAAATCAAAATGAGATACGCCAAATTTTGAAATAAAGTACTATTTTGAGACATCCCTTATTTCTCGTGGAACAAGGTTTACAGGGGTGCCAAAATAGCGCATCCGTTACCTCTGGTATCCTGAAATAGCCTTGCAGTCTAGACGTACCCTCAGTTTCCCTACCTGTGCCCCATGGATAATGGTTTTTAATTTCTTTTATAAAGCGCTTAGAGATCTTTAAGGGAGTAATGTTCTAAAAGACACATCTTAAAGGTAAAGCTGATATTTACAGATGGCAGGCTTGCTGGGGCTGAACACCTCTTTAAAAATAGCCTTTATTCAAATCTCAAATGCCAGACAAAAACTACCTAAAAATCTAACTTCAGTCTTCTTTAAAAATTGGATGACTTTTTCTAAAATGAGAATTCAAGTATTAAATCCCTTATGATTTTTACCACACACTATAAATTCAGTGGAATACTCTAAGATAAATAAATACACAGATTTATCTGTATTTCTTGTGTAGCCAGACCACAGTTCACCTTCTGTCTTAAAACATCCATTCCACACTAAGGGCATGTCTATACTTAGTGGGAGGTCAGCACTGCAACAATCAATCCCTCAACGGTTGATTTAGTAGATCTAGTAAAGACCCTCTAAATCAAATGCTGATTGTTTTCTTGTCAACTCCAGTATTCCATTGGAACATGAAGCATAAGGGAAGTCTATGGCAGAATTTCTCCCATCGACCCCCTGCAGTGTAGTCCCTGCAATAACTCAACCTAAGGTACAACAACTCCAGTTCTGGTATTCACATAGCTGTAGTTTTGTACTTGAAGTTGATATTGCCCTGCCCTGCAATAACTCAACCTAAGGTACAAAGACTCCAGTTCCGGTATTCACATAGCTGTAGTTGTGTACTTGAAGTTGATATTGCCCTATAGTAACATATCCTGCTTGTGCACTCAAAACTCCCATTGAACTTAAGTCTTAGTTAAGACATTAACTATTCTTAATTAACAACAATGTAAGTATAAGACATGGAAGGTAATCATCCTGCTCTGCTGAGCACTAATAAGGCCTAAATAGAAATTCTCTGTCCCATTTTGGTCACTGCCCTTTAAGGAAAATATAGACAAAGTGGAGAAAGTCCAGAAATCACAGTAAAAATGATAAAACATGTAGAAAATCTGACTGATGATGAGGAAAGACTTTTTAAAAAAAGGGCATGTTTAGTCTTGAGAAGACAGAGGGAAGACCTGGCAATAGTCTTCAAATATGTTAAGGGCTGTTACAAAGAGAATGCTGATCAATTTTTTTCCATGTCCCCTAAAAGTAGAACAAGAAGTAATGGCCTAAATCTGCAGCAAAAGAGATTTAGGTTAGATATTGGGAAAACCTCTCTGATTGTATGAACTACCCAGTCCGAGTCAGGTTGATGATCTAAAAACCTGGAATGAGCTTGATATCATGGGGGCAATCCCAATTATGGGTTTGAAAAATTGACACCCACCAATACCCTAGGTTGGAGCTGGGGTTAACTGCTGTTAAGCTTTGCACCTGCAGTTAGGTTCTTTTATTGATATTTTAAAAATAGTTTTTTTCTGTAACACTTTTACCTTACGAACAAATGTACTTGCTTAGCAACAGCTGTTTGATCACCTGTACGCTGCTGGCAGGGTACTGTGCATAATCCTTGGAGAGAGATCAAAGCACAGGCACTGGGCTTTAGGCACATTGGGCTAGCGGGGGATAGTGTAATATAAGGCAGGGAGAAGGCTTAAAACCCCCCAGTCAGAAGAGAAGTGGGGCAAGGGTCCCTACTCAGGATGTGTCTACACGCCAGCGTTTTTCTGGAAAAACAGCTGTTTTTCTGGGAAAACAATACTTGTGTCCACACTGCCATTGAGTTCTTTCAACAGAAAGTTGAAAGAACGGAAGGGTTTTTCCGACGGTGGAAATAACAGGCTTGCTGCTAAGAGGCAGGATAGCTATTTCGGGACACCAAAATAGCTCTGCAGTGTAAATGTAGCTTTCCAGTCCTATACTTCTATGGTTCTATACAGGGAAGGTATTCAAAATAACTGCCATGTGTGACAGTAAACTTGTTACAGGATTGCTTATTGTAGACAGATTCAGAAAAGAGAAGCTCTACTAAAACCAATGAATCTGGTGAGCCAGACTGAGACTGCTTGTCTTCTAGTTGCAAAACCTCAAGCAACCTGGGGCTTTCCCAATGATGACTCTCATTCTACATTTTACTCTCGATTTGAAAAAAAAAGCACAGTGAAAGATTTGGGGTTTTCCACTCCATAAGCAGTTTAAATTTAGAAACCTCATTACCATAAACCTTCCAGTTAGTATTGCAAGATGGTTTAATCAGTCATGACGCCAATTTCAACTCTTCACCGAGCCCACTGAAGTCACGTAGTGAAACCAAAGATGTATTTAGCTGACAAGATGTTCTCTGAGAGTGTTTGTTGTTTGAAATGCCATTAGAGGTTAGCTGCAGAAGAGGGTTTTGGCAATACACTCGGGATTAGTGAAAAACTACTCAGAAGAGTTGTTGCACCTTTCCTTATGGGAATTTCTCTTGTAAACATTACCAACAGTATTCCAGGCCAGATTTTAATGCATTTGTATGTTTTGCAGTTCCTACAGTAGATTATGCCTCCTACTCCCAAAATAGCTTACTAAATTACCACCATTGCCCACATTTTGAAAATCTGACCCTTGATTTCATTCCTTAGAACAGTTTTCTTGAAGTCTCTCTCCAGGGGAAACTCTAAACACAGATCTGCAATTTTATGTACATTATGCCAAAGAAAACTTTACTGTGGTAGTCTAAGACAACTTGGATGGGGGTAGATTTGTTAATAACGGCTCATTCCTTATGACCCAGGTACACTCTCCATGCCAACTGTTCCTGGTTCTCTCACTGTTGATGAGCGTTTGGTCAAAATGGAGAGAAACACTCAACAATTTAATGTGCACCTGCAAATTTGGGCTAATAGCACCTCACATATAGGAGTCACACTTGCGATATTTCCAAGATATCAGTGCTGGACTGTCAGTCCTGGACATTAAGAATAGGATTTTCAAAAGTGTTCAGCATCAGTCTGTTTCTTTTCCCAAATGGTAAAACTCCCTTGACTTCCTGGGAAACAAAGATTGGGTAATGCTCAGCAGATTTCAAAATTCCTTTGCTGCCCATAGAACAGTACCAGAAATACCAGCAAAAGTGCCCCACAACTCCTCACCAACTGCACACCAGAACTCTGTTTTGGAGGTATCATGCAAAGCTGGTTCATTCCTTGGCTTCTTTGCTAGGCCTGTTAGCAAGGATGCCAATGAATGCTGGTGCTTTTTGGGCTCTGTCCCCTAACAGCTGAGTTGACACAATGTGTTGTATGCCTTTCGGTAACTCCCAACCAGCCTGAATTGGAGCTGGTAACCCAGAGAGGAAAGGATCCCCATCCCAGCCATTCCAATTCCTCTACATTGAAGTGCTCTACCATGTAGTTTTACTTTGGTACATGGGATGATGCAAAGGACTGGTGATATTTCCTAGATTAGTGGCTTGAACCTTGCCTCCCCTGAGAGTCACTGCCGGCAGAGAGCATTACCCTGCTCTACCATAGCACAAGGGATAGAATATCAGACAGTTCCAAATGGAACCTTGGCCACAGCTGTGTTGGCAATCTCAGCCTTGACACCACTTTTAGTAAGGTACGCAAAGCTGCCCACCCCATGAAGTAGGAGGTTGCAGAGTCATACCCAGGGTTGGATCCTGTGCTGCCCCACTGCTTACTCGGCCATTTCTGATCTTTAAAAAAAATACATATAGGAGGCAGGAATTCCAGGCTCTCCTTCTGCCATTTTTGCATTTCAATGCATGTTCCAGGTACCTTGCCAAGAAAATGCAAGAAGGAGCTGCTGGCAGTGAAGCTACGGAACAGGCCAAGCAAGCAGGAGCTGGAAGACAGGAACATTTTCCCCAGGAGGACAGATGAGGAACGTCAGGAAATCCGACAGCAAATCGAAATGAAACTCTCCAAGTAAGTGACTGGTGGTCTTTATAATGGGATGGGATGGGATGGTCTTTATAGTAAAGTCTCTTTGCCTCCTCTCACAGTACATACACCTCTTAGCCCATTTCCCAGGGGGAGTCATGCAGCAAGGGGCAACATGCACAGCAGACAGCAGTGTTGACTTCAGGGCCATGCCTTTGATTTCTGAGCTCACACACAGTGCCTGGTAGACTGGTCACCTGATCGCCTGCTTGAATCAGGCTATCCCAGCTAAAAATAGAAAAAACAAAACTGAATGCACGGAGTTTGATGTTGGCCTGCACTTCCCACTGAAATCAGTTGATTATTCTAGCTCCCATCCTCTTTCATGAGCACTGAATTCACCACTAAACTATTCATCTTTGTCTACACTTACACTGAGGGCTACAATCTAGGATCAGTGCATCTGCAACACCCCGTTAGAGGCAGGGAAAGCTGCAGAATGGTGTGGTTTAACGAACACTATTTCAAGGAAGGGTCAGATTCAGCCGGGCTTTCTTTGCCAGGACTAAAGATCTGCCGAAGTGCAGCTGCACAGATGGCTGGAATCTGGACTAATAGCACAGGTAGGAACGACCTGTTTCCTTTGAGTAAATAGCTTACCAACTTTTAACCCAGGTACAAGGGCACCTCTGTACAGAAGAAACCAGTATCGCAGCTAGCTCATATGAGCTGGGATTTACAGAAACTATTAGATTCCAACTGCATTTTTAAAATAGCTACATTTGGATAATTTGCAAAAACTGAATAGTTTAGCTGTGACAATTTAATTGTTAACTAATCTGCACTGCGCTCTCCCATGTTGGAATAAGCAGTTCTCAATGGCTACCATAACGGTTGCTCTCCAACTGAGAGAGCTGAACAGGAGTTCCTCCCAGAGGCTTATTAAATATTAATCACTGGAATCTGCTTTTTTTCAAGACACAGTTGCTGTTATTCAAGCAAGAGCTGGGCCAGCTCTGCAGCCTTTGCATTGACTAAGCTTTTGTTTTAGAGGATTGGGAATGAGCTAGCAGTTGATAGATTAGAGGGCAGTTCCTAACAGACAGGTTTCTACACCCTAAAACACACCATCATGTTTGACTCCTCGGGTAATCTCTGCTTAAAAAAAAAAAAGACCAGAGACTGGACATTAAGAATAAAACATCTTAAAGTATGTTACAGTGTTCGTTAAGCTTCACGGTACCCTGTGTATACAGAGGATTTATTTGATATTGTTTTGGTTCTCAGCTTTATTTAATATTTGTGTGATGGTAACACTTAGAAGTCAATTGATCATATCTTACTAGGCACTGCATAGAGTAAAACATAGAAAAGGGATTTAATATGCAGGTAGAGCGAACAGTGGGATGGTTGGCAATCACCATGTTAGTGCCAGGAAGTGCAGCCATCTTTGAGGATGGATCAGAGCATGTTCCACCACAGTCTTGCCAATAACTTAGGAGAGAAAGTGAAGAAAAAAAAGAAATGGGCCTGATCTTGTAAGCCCTGCCTGTGAAACACCCATTAGCCTTCCTGCTTTATTAGAGTATAGGTGCATTTTAGGCAGGCAGAAGTCCCTGAGTTGCAATTTGACCAGGATACTGGGCTTAACAGTCTTAGTGGCTTGTGCAAAATTAGTGTGATCTGTAATAGGAGGTCTGGAGCCTGATTTTATAACTCATCTGGAAGACTTGGAAAAGTGCCCCCCAATGCTACATTGAGATGTTTGTACAATCTTCTCTCTGCGTAAAAGGTGAATCTCCTCCTGTTGTAACACGTGTTTGTACAATCTTCTCTCTGCGTAAAAGGTGAATCTCCAACATCTCCTCCTGTTGTAACACATGGCTTACTCGTAGGAGGTCTCCTATCTGACTCCCAGCCTCGCCTATGTCTCCTTCACTTGTGAGAGCTTGTGGAACCTCAGCACAACATGGGATGGCTACTGGCCAATCTCCTTTCTTTTTTATGACCACTTAGCTGCTGTTGAGGTGGAAAAGGAAAGTTAGGCCTGGTTTTCACTGGCACATTTTATCATCAAAAACTGCCTTTTGGTCACAAAACAATGAGAGCATTTATGCTGCAATGCAACTTTTGTCAGGGAAAAATACCCCGTTTTGGAGACCAAAAAAATTGTAGCCCTGCAAAAGAGTTTTGTCTTTCCCCTCCCTTTACTGTCAACAAAAAGCCAGTGTGGCCTCTGCTGTTTGTTTTGTCAAGAGAACTGGCTTCGACTAGTATCCCAAAATGCCTACTGTGCTGGCTATGCTCAGAGTTTTGTGATCTATGCTGCCCTGCAGGCATGCACCCCTCCCCTTTCAAAGCTCCAGGAAGTATCTGACAGCTGAGTGAGCTCCTCCATTGGGGGAACAAACAAAGAACTAATAATTGGAATGCTCCTGTACTGCCCTGCTAGGAACACAGAGGCAGGCAGACTGCTGCTGCAAGGGGAAGGCTGGAGAGATTGCTGTTCAGCTTTGACATTCTTTAGCACAAAGAGCTCACAGAGCTACAAGGGAATCCCAAGAAGAACAGGGATCAGCTCTGCCTTCCCATAATGCTGCACAGTGGGATGCTTACCTACATTGCTTTGCTCTTATCTGTCGAGTGGGTGCTAACAACGTGGCCATGAAATGTTGACAACAGGAGGCAGAAAAACCTGTTTGACCAGTTTTCACTTTTGGCGTCTTTCTATATCTACTCTGGGATATAGCCAAACCTTCCCAGAGTAGATATAGAAAGAAATTGTGTCTGAAATTAGTGTCAGTATAAGGACTTAAGGTATAAAGTGTCTCTGCAGAAGAGAAAGATCATGATGCATGATCATGATGGAAGTTGTGGAAGGTTTAGCATACAAAGAAAAAGAAGACAGCTGATGAGGAGCAGTCTGTGATGTAAATTATTAATTTGTTAGGTGATATTTACAGATGACTGAAAAGACATGCTCATTTAGTGTAACAGAAGACATGCTTTCATTTACCTCCTCCTCACCAGAACTTAGCAAGCTGAGTGCCACTCATGTCACAGAAGGTGCAGAGATGGATAGAATAGCCTGCCATGCAAAACAAATTGGGGCCAGTCCCCCCGTACAATTTCTGAGCATATATGAGCACTGGTACAGCTTGCTCGTTACTCATCAACCAGACTAGAGCATGACGATGCAAACTCAGCCAGCAGATCTATCATGGAAAAATATTTTCATGCTGAAGGGCATGCACGTGTCAAAGGTAACTCCATTTTGACAAATACAGAAATAGGTCAGGTCTTAGGGGTATCCCCGCTGAATGTCTGAGTCACACTTTGGGGGGAACCACAGAAAAAACAGACTTCTCTAAAATCTCGTGCCATGTTTTATGCTAAACTCAGTGTGTATTTGGACAGCAGTTTGTTAACAGTCAAGGTGGGAGAGATGCCTGTGCAGTGCAAACCTGGGTTGGGATTTTCAAATACCCTTAAATCCATTTCAATGAGAGTGTCTGGTTATCTCCCTCTGTTGGCTTTGAAAAGCTCAGTGGAGACCAATGAAGCAGGGCTTAAATTCTTATAAAGTATTTCTCAGATCTGCCACTTCCCCTCTCCATGCTATGAAAACTCCAGGTAATTGGAAAACATTTACCTGAGTACTGCTCCACAGATCTCCAGCTGACTTTAAACCCTAAGTTTATAGATGTAGAGCACATTAGTGGCTTCTCATTTTTAAGGAACTCCCTTTATTTTAGGATCCAGCAACTGGTTCCAGTGGAAATTGCTAATCTCTGTGTTACCTGACTACTATGTAGGTGGATTTCAGCACCCCACAGCTACTGTTCCAATGTGAGGATAATGCTGAGTGGGACTTAATTATAAATCCAAATATACAATCCAATTACAAACCTGGCCTTTGCACTGTAAGGCTGTGTCTAAGAGATGCAATTCCCAGCTTGCATCTTTGTGCTAACGTTGAGCTTGTGGGCTAAAATACTAGTTTAGCCTCCATAGCACAAACTAGGACACAGGTTAGTTGCCATACTCAGAGGCTACGTCTAGACTGGCATGATTTTCTGCAAATGCTTTTATTGGAAAAGTTTTCCGTTAAAAGCATTTGCGGAAAAGAGCGTCTAGATTGGCACGGATACTTTTCCGCAAAAGCACTTTTTATGGAAAAGCTTCCGTGCCAATCTAGATGCGCTTTTCCGCAAAAAAGCCCCAATCGCCATTTTCGCGATTGGGGCCTTTTGCGCAAAACAAATCTGAGCTGTCTACACTGGCCCTTTTGTGCAAAAGCTTTGCGCAAAAGGACTTTTGCCCGAACGGGAGCAGCATAGTATTTCCTCAAGAAACACTGATTTCTTACATGAGATCGTCAGTGTTCTTGCAGAAATTCAAGCGGCCAGTGAAGACAGCGGGCAAGTTTTCCCACAAAAGCAGCTGCTTTTGCGGAAAAACTTGCCAGTCTAGACACAGCCAGAGGGTCCAGGCAGCATTGTATTCAGGGTGTTTGCCACTGTCTGTGCTACTTTGACTACAGTGCTATTTTTAGCACTTTCGCTTGATCATAGCTAGTGTGTGTAGACGTAGTCTAAGAGATGAGCTAGAACCAGGACTCATTGTTCAACAGCTGATTCTTGATAAACTAGCCAGTTGACAGGTGGCCATGCTCTGGGTATGTTGTTTACCAGCTGTATCCCCATGGATTCAAAGTACTTCTAGGGTAGCCAGCAAAGTCCTTCCATGCCACCTTGAAATAATGAGTTTTGTTACATTATTTATAAATAATGAGGTACACAGTTCTGCAGGCTGGAAGGAGAGCTGTGCGTAAGTATTTTATGAAAATACTGAAATGATTTTAGAATTAGACAAAACATGGGACAACTTTTCATGAAAAAAATTGCTTCATCAAAAAAAACAATGTTAAAAGATTCTAACTAATATAATAGCTGGTCCACACAAGAATTGGTGAGAAAGCTGACACTCAAGTTTTGCAGATAAACAGTTACACAGCAAGACTTCACACAGCATCCATCCTCCCTCTGACTTATCAGGTGGCCTCCTCACCCCCCCCTCCCCCAGAACTGAATTTTGCCTCCCTCTGACTTATCAGGTGGCCTCCTCACCCCCCCCCCAGAACTGAATTTTGAAAACTCTTTAAACAGATTCTACTCATATTCTAGTATAAATCCATTGACTTCAGTGGATTTGCTTCTGACTGACATCAGTGTAAGTGGGGGAGAATCCACTGCTTGCTTTCTTTGTGTTACTTACTAGATCTATTTTTATCCCTCTCCTACCCCCTCCTCATTTCTAATAAAAGAAGTCAGCCCCACTGGTTGCTATGGAAATGTGTTCCCCCTTCCCAGTAGCAGAATTCCATATTTCCTCAGATTGCCTCATTCTGTAACATTCATCTCTTACTAATTTATCTGTCCCTGATGCTTCAGGCCATGACAGACACTGCTAAAATTCTATTGTGCGCTAGACAATTGAGGTTCTGATGCGCCAAGCTCCTGCCGTTCTTTGTTCAACTTCGCTGTGTTCTGATTGCAGATAATAAGACCTCAGTGGCATTAAATTAATTGATCCCATTATGTCAAGAGGTTAAAAAAAAATTGCAAATATGATTACTTGCAGTAACAGCTCTCTGTAGTACAGACTTACTTCATTCTACATGGAATTTAAGCAGAAACCCAGAAGAACAAAATGATCCTGAGAATGAAGAGCAATGCATGAAAAGGTTGTTTAATTAATTTAGGACCTTATTGCAACTCTTTAGAAAGTTAATATCTGAACTGCTAGGGTAGCTGTTCCGTCCACAGTACGCCTTGTACAGGCACACTCCAAAACTCTCCTTCAGTACTTAATGTCTCCATGAAAACATGAATTCCTAGAACAAATTATACTTGTAATTTTCACTTCACGTTCCGCTTCGCATCCTCAGGTGTTTGCATAAGTAGACACGATGCATTAAGCAGTAGTCAGCAGGGATGTGTGGAAACAGAAACTCAGCTGTTACAGGGATGAGAGATATAGAAGAAAGGACTTATTAAAACAGGCAGCCTCAGAAATTCACTGGACCCAAAAATTTCCATGTGTGGGTGCTTAGCACTAAGTGGTCCTAATTTGAACAATTATGGCTTTAGCACAGTGGGCCATATTGAAAGCATCTCTCATCAATGCAAGCTCTAGAAGTCAGTTTTCCTTATGCACTGCTGCATGGTGCCAGGAACTTAGTACTCCCATTCCTGGAAATGCACTTCTGAGCAGGGGTAGCACAAAATATCCCTCATCCAGCCTTAAGGCTGCAGATATCACAAACCGCTTGCCCTTGCCACAAAATGTTGCACTACAGGCAGTCCCCGGGTTACGTACAAGATAGGGACTGTAGGTTTGTTCTTAAGTTGAATTTGTATGTAAGTCAGAACTGGCGTCCAGATTCAGCTGAACAGCGGCTGAATCTGGACACCTGGGACAGAGCAGCTAGGGCGCTGTCGGAAAGTTGATTCTGTATGTAAGTCAGAACTGGCATCCAGATTCAGCCGCGGTTGAAACTGATCAGTTTCAGCAGCGGCTGACGTCAGTTCCAACTTACATACAGATTCAACTTAAGAACAAACCTACAGTCCCTATCTTGTACGTAACCGAGGGACTGCCTGTACTCTAGCTTGTCCACACAGGCCTCTGTCACTTGAGATAGCACAGTAACTAATAGCAATAGTAGATTTTCATTCCATACGTGAGCCAGCATACTGTGGAGGGGTAAAGAAATAGGACACATTTTGCTGGTCAGAATGAAGAGAGGGAACTAGTCATGTCAACATTTTCATAAATGATCTGGAGAAAGGGGAAAACAGTGAGGTGGCAAAATTTGCAGATGATACTAAAATGCTCAAGGCAGTTAAGACCAAAGCAGACTGTAAAGAGCTTGAAAAGGATTTCACAAAACTTGGTGACTAGGCAAGAAAATGGTAGATGAATTTCAGTGTTGATAAATGCAAAGTAATACATATTGGAAAACAATCCAAATTATATATACAAAATTATGGGGACTAATTTAGCTACTACCACTAAAGAGAGATCTTGGAGTCATTGTGAATTGATCTCTAAACATCCACACAATGTACAGCAGCAGTCAAAAAAGAAAACAGAATGTTAGGACTCATTAAAAAAGGGATAGAGAGTAAGACAGAATATCTTAGTGCCTCTATATAAATTCATGGTACACTACGTTTTGAATGCAGCATGCAGATGTGGTTGTCTCAAAAAATATATCTTAGCATTGGATAAGATTCAGAAAAGGGCAACAAAAATGATTAGGGGTTTGGAATGGCTGTCACATGAGGAGAGATTAATAAAACTGGGACTTTGCAGCTTAGAAAAGAGGAGACTAAGGGGGGATATGATACAGCTCTATCAAATCATGTGTGAATAAAGTAACTTTTCTTTATTTGTTGCCATACACAAGAACTAGAGATAACCAAATGGAATTAATAGGTAGCAGTTTTAAAACAAACAAAAAGTAGTATTTCTTCACACGTCAACCTATGGAACTCCTTGCCAGAAGATGTTGTGAAGACCAGGACCATAACAGGTTAAAAAAGAGCTAGATAAATTCATGGAGGAGAGGTCTATTATTGACTATTAGCCGGAATGGTGTCCCTAGCCTCTGTTTGTCAGAAGATAGGAATGGGTGACAGGGGCAATACTTGCTTACCTATTCGTTCTCTCTGGAGCACCTGGCTTTGGCCACTGTTGGAAGGGCCTTTGGTCAGACCAAGTATGGCTGTTCTTATGTTCAGTTCAGAAATAGTGAAACTCAAGAATTTTGGGGAGAGGGGTATGATCCAGTAGGTACAGACTTTTGCTCCTCTCAAGCTTGACCCCTTTTGCTCCATCCCCTTCAACCTGTCTGCCTCATTTCTGACTCTTCCACATCCCTAGCTCCATGTCTCCCAATCCCATCCTCCTGCCTGCTCAGTCTCTCTTCCTCCAGCTTCTCATCCCAGTCTCCTTGCATAGCCACGCCTGATCTCTTCTGGGAATACTGCAAAGAACCAATCTCCCCCCTCCCACCACCACCACACTCTGTAACAATCACCCTGTCCAGATCTTACTCAGCATATCCCTGTCCTTTTTAGGATGTATTGCTTCTCACCTCTGCCCATTTCCCCCCAAATAGTATGTAGTGCCTCTCCCTCCGTCCCACCTTATTCAAACTCAACATCATCCTTGCAAGGCAACTGGTTTCCAGTGCCTACCCCCAATTTCTCTCATCAGCTCCCAGTCTCCCCACTCTTCAGTGTCTGGTGCCAGTCTGCTTGCCTGCAAGCCCCAGTCTCCCCTTCCAGTCAGTTCCCTCTCCCACTTGCAGACTTCCTGACCTAATCTACTCCTTTCCACCCCCCACATCAGCTCTTCATATTTTCTGAGCTAGAATCAGATGACTTCCTCCTCCTGCATCCTGGATGCCAATTTAGAGGCCACTAAAAGCACAGGAGAGACGCTCTTTACTCTCAGTTCTGATGCCAGCCCTGCCCTGGCCAGGAGCAGATGGAAGCAGCCATTTTAAGGAAAGTCCTTTGAGCCCTGGTAGCCTTGGGCTGTGGCTGATGCAAGCATCAGTTGCTTTGTGGGGGTGGTGCAATGTAGAAGCTGTGAAGGCACAGACTGTACATAGTCACTCTGGAACCATGGGCATGCGGCCCATCGGTGTTCTGTGTGTGGGGGGAGGTGGAGGTGCACAATGACAATTGCCAGATTCTGCTGGTTTTCATCAGCATAGTTTTTTCCCCACCAGTATCACAAGAGTAACATGCAAGGGCATGTGAAAGGAGTTGTGTGCTGTTTGCACACAACATTGGTTCAGAACACCCCACAAATTCTAGGCACGTAAGCGCATTATCTGGAAGATTGTCTTGGTTACAACAAACCCATGGCCCACTGAGGTGAAGGAGGGGCCACTTATGCGGCCCACTCATTAGCCTAGGTCCATGGTTACCAACCAGTAGATCGCGATCTACCGGTAGATCTCAGGGTCTCTAAGAGTAGCCTTGAGCCCTCTCTGAACTGCGCGCCTGCTCAGTACATTTACATTAGATTTCCTCATCTGAGGAGCAGCTACTCACCGAGAAACAACACTGGAGAGTAGCTGCAAGGCATGGTGGGAGGTTGGGAGGGCTGAAAAAACCCAGCCAGCTGGCTGTGGGTTCTGCCCGGAGGAGGCTGCCCCGCGCTCCAGCTGATTGGCGGCTTCCCTTGTGCACCAGCCCACGTGGAGCGTGGTGCACCCTGGCTGAGCGCCATGGCCAGCTGCCCCCTGGGGGAGCCCCTTGGCCAGGAAGCCGCTTCTCTTCGCTCCTGCCCGGCTGCCCTGCGCTCAGCCCGAGAAGCTTGCTCCAGCACAGCTGGAGCTAGACGCAGCCTCCCGGGCGGAGTGCGGGGCAGCCAGGCTGGAGGGAAGAGAAGTAGCTGCCCAGCCAGCTGGCCATGGTGCTCAGCCAGGGTGAACCAAGCTCCACGTGGGCAGGTGCAGAGGGGAAGCCACCGATCAGCTGGAGCGCAATTCAGCCTCCTCCGGGCTGAAGGCCACAGCCAGCTGGCCAGGCAGCTTCTCCTCTGTACCAGCCCACGTGGAGCGTGGTGCACCCTGGCTGAGCACTATGCCCAGCTGGCTGGGAAGCCGCTCCTTTTCGCTCCCGCCCGGCTGCCCTGCATTCAGCCAGGGAAGCTTGCTCCAGCACAGCTGGAGCTAGGCGCAGCCTCCCTGGCACAGCCAAACTGCTGTTTGTTTTGTCCACAGAACTGGCTTCCACCAGTATTCCACAATGCCTGCCCTGATAGCTCTGCTTAGTGTTTTGATCTCCGCTGCTCTGTGGACATATGCCCCTCCCCTTTCAAAGCTCCCAAAGTCTGTTCCTATCACTGAGAATTAAGTATTTAATTCTGAACTGGGATGCAGAAGAGATGGGATCAATACCTGGCTCTGAAATACTTCTTGGAACACCTTGGACAAGTCACAAAGCTGGTGCTTCAATTTCCCCTACTAATAAAACAGCAATACGATGCTTTCTGCCATCCTCTTATTTGACTGGCCTATTTAGATTTGAATACTCGAGGGCACAGATTCACTGTGCGTCTGTGCAGCACCAATACAACGGGGCCCCAGTTTGGGTTAGAGCTTCTGGCATTATTACAATACAAACTGGGTGCTATCTAC